TCATAGGCCCTTTGGGAAAGAAAACCAAGGAAATACTCTACCCAAAAAGTCAAAGTCAGTCAGCTGGCACTGGAGGAAGCACTGCAAGGGAGCACAACTCCTGTGTTTGTCCTGTCCTTCCTCTCCCCTGGCAGCATGTGGTCCTGGAGAGGCTGCTGGGCTACATGAACCCTTCACATGACCAGTGCAGCCATTCTCATGTGTCATGATAACTCATGATCAAAAGAACCTTTTTGGTTTGATTTGCTACCTTTCCCTTTAGTACCTTTTAATTGCTTTAATAATAAATTAAAAAATTGTTTTATTCAAGCTTCTGTGGCACAGGGTGAGGTTTGAACACCAACTTTTTCAAAAATCTGTTATTGCAAACAAAATAAGTTTAGTTGGTTAGTCTGCAAGAAACCTGCAAGGACAAAATAACTCATAGTCCAGAAATCCTACATTATTGAGTCTCATTATCAGACAATTCAGGGAGAAGGAAAAAGCCACACCTGAGCCACTGTGTTGCAGAGGACACATGCTGGTGTTCCATAGATCTACATTGTGTTTCTGACTTTGACATTCACAACCCTTTCAATTTGTGTCTGTCACCATCTACAACAGAAGCATCTGTGGCTTGTTCCCCCTTCTGTCAGCCGCTGGACCCCAGCGTTGGCTCTGGCTGAGCAGGTGTCCCAGGTGTGAGGGTCCTGCTTAGTGCCTGCAGAGCTCAGCACTCACTGCTTCATGTAACCCTCAAGTTCTGCCACAGCTCTGGCTGTACTGAGGAACTGAACCTTCAGCAGGAAGGGTTGATCCTCACTCAAAGCTCAGCCACTGCAAGCCCCAACTACCACAGGTCACAAAACAAGACAAGATTGTTCTTCCCTCTTTATTGACTGATGGATTCTCAGGCAGATCTGTTAATTACACTGTTAAATAATAGTTAAAAACAAACCAAGGCCAGAGGAGTTTGAATTGAAGTATCTAAACTGAAGCAGAAATTGGGAAGGAAGAGGCAGGAGAAGCTGGGCTGGGGTCTCCACCTGTGTTACACTGCAGCTCAGACACCCTGATGGCTGCTGCCGTGACCCCGGGCCATCAGATTCCAGGGCCTGGCTCGGATGGGACATCGTCTTAATACGGAAACGGTTGCCCAAACGGAGCCAGACTGGGAGAGAAGAGCTCTGTCCAGACACAGAGGTGCAAGGCAAGTCGAGGGGAAGCAGTATTGCAGCAATCCTAGAACAAAGCCAGCGAGAGCAGCAGTCCCGCTCCTGCCGGCGGCAGGTGACGCGTGGCCACCGCCGGCCCCACAGAGCACCGGGGCCAGGGGTCCTCAGCTCACACGTTGTGGGTCCGTTTGGTGAGCTGCGGGTCCTCATCCACCAGCTTTGACTTGAGATGCTCCTTGTAGGCAAGGATGTCCCCTTGCCACTTGGTGATTGTCTGCTTCTCACAGACCCAGATCTCCTGCGCCACCTGAGAGCAAGCACACGAGGAGGAGGAGGAGGAGGAGAGGTTTGCAGTACAGCATTTTATAATCTTATCAAAATGATAAAGTTAACTAAAAACTATTCTCTGAAGTCTGGCAAGAAAAGTTCAGTAACTCTCACATTTCAACTACCAAACAAAGCATCTGCAGAGAAACATCTTCCTTGTTTTTTTCTGCATAATTTATACAAGACTTTGAAAGTCCTGGACCCCTCTACATTTCTGATTTCGTTCATGCACTAAGAAGAAAAGCCTTTCTTGCTAAACTGGGAATTGAAATAAAAGTAGTTCTTGACCTGAACTACTTGGATATAACACACTGAAAAATAAAATTATACCTGAAGTTGCAGCCAAAGCTATAGCTGACAAATCAGCACTTGACATTTGTGTTGGGTTTTTTTCTATATTTCAAGTTCCTAATATTTTCCTGGGCTATCTCAATAATTGTTTAATATGAACACAGTAAGGCAATTGTGTGCAGTGATTTTTTTTCACTCACCCATCTTTTTGGGATGTGTAAAAGCCAGTGAGTTGAAAACACCTTGTTTTAATTACTTAAAGTGTTAAAATTCATGACTTTTGTTACCTGCTGGATGAGTCTGAAATCATGGCTGACAAGCATCATTCCTCCTTCAAACTCATTGATGGCATCTGCCAGAGCATCTATGGTCTCTATGTCCAGGTGGTTGGTGGGCTCGTCCAGGAAGAGCATGTGGGGGTTCTGCCAGGCCAGCCAGGCGAAGCACACACGGCACTTCTGCCCATCCGAGAGGTTCCTGATGGGGCTCACCTGCCCAACACAGACACAGCTCGGGCTCTGCAGGCACCTCCCAGCCTGCCACCCTGGCCCAGAACACTTAGGTCTCACCCTGGGCTCCCAGCAGCTCCATGACACAAGAGGACAAATGTTCAGTCAGCCTTATACCTACACTGAGCTTCTCCCACCCATGGAACAAGGGAATTCCAGGGGCTCCTGAAGAATGAGTCTCCCCAGCAAGACCCAGCTTGCACCAAAGATGTGCAAGGACAGTTGACTGGGGTCTGACTGGTGTTTACTGATACAACCATCAAACTACTCTTAACTTCTGCAGTGATAAATGGCAAAAGCAATGCAAAAATCAACACTCAGCTGCAGTGACATTGACTCCTCCTGTCACACATGTGACGTATGATGTACAGGAGCACGTCATGCTTGGACTTACTAGTACCACTGGTGAGCCTCTTGTCTGAACCAAGGGGACCTCACACCCAGCTGAGATCTGCTAACACTTCTGGCTGGTATTCATCTCAGAAATGAGAGATAAGCGAACTAGTTCAAGTTACAATTAAAGTGTGCTCAGGTCTAGCACTACACCACAGCTTGTCTTCTTTTCACCCAGATTCTGAGGGGGTCACCCGTTCCAACCCACGTCTTGCTGTGAGCCATTTTTTCCTCCAATTTCAAAGGCAGAGATGGATTTTGATGCTATGGTGAGCCATGCTGCATACTGTATCACACTGTCAGACATCAGTGGAGGAACAGAAAACACAGCAGCTCTGCTCCCCTAATGAGCAAAAAGCAAACTTCAACAGCTCACACTCACCTGCTGCTTCCCTGTCAGACCATATCTGCCAATGATTTTCCTCATCTCCTCCTTCTCCTTGATCTCTGGGTAGCATTTCAGCATGTACTCCAGGGGTGAGAGGTCTAAGTCCAACTGCTCTTGCAAGTGCTGCCAGAGAAGAAAAGTCAGCTTCAGGCTGTGCAGGCCACCCACTTCATGGCCCAAAGCACGTCCCCCCTTACACCTCACACCCCTCTGGTACCAGCTGAGTGGCAGAACACAAGAGCCAATAATCCTACCCACAGGATAGCCCCTGTGCTGAACTATTATGCAACAGCTTCCATTTCAGGAGAAGGAGTGCTGTTTCAGAACAGCAGGTTTGTCCACCACCAAACACAAGGCAGCTGCTCTGCCAGTGGCAGGTGGGAGGTGAACGGAAGGACCACAGTCAGCAGGGTAAGGACAGGAGCTGGAGCCCATTCCATGGACAGTTCCTTCCCCCTTCTCTGGGTACAGAAGGGCAGCAGTGGGAGGGGCCTTAGAAGCAGAACCAGAGATGCAAGTTTCCTCATTCCTGACAGCTTTTTCCTCTGCATTCCCTGTCCCTGGGGGCTGCTGCAGGGAGTACCTGGTGGTATCTACCGATCTTCACATGTGAGTGCTTGCGAATCATCCCATCTGTGGGCAGCAGCTAGAAAGGGAAGATAAAATCATTTCAGCAGGAAATCTCTCCTCTTGCTGTATGTCAGAAATACAGAATCCAGCCATCTCCACTCTGGCACAGGGGAGGCAGCCTGAACATGTTATCTGAGAGAAAAAGCCCTATACTGCAACGAGACCTCAGGATTTCCAAGGCCTGAGACTGGGGTGTTCTGGCAAATAAGTGCAGCTTTGTTGAAGACTATTCCAAGAATAAAGGTCCAGAGCAGGGTAGACAATGTAGGAAGCAAACCTCTCCTGTGAGCAGTTTCAGCAGTGTTGACTTTCCGGCTCCATTGGGTCCAACGAGAGCTACACGGGTATCCAGGTCAATCCCAAACTCCAAGTTATTATAGATCCATGGCTGAAAACCACAAAAATCATGCCACATATTATGCCTTTTCACTACTCCCCAGAACCTCTCTGCTGCACCTGTAATGCTCTGTCCTCAGCAGACCCAGCATTAACACTGCCAAGGAGTTTGCTCCACTAGTCATATGCTGCAGCCTGATCAGGAAGCTCAGCCAAATGCCTCCCACTCCCAAACCAGGCAGAAGCACAAGGGATCTCTGTATGCACACTCCCCATACTCACCCCATCCTTGCTGTATCTGAAGCTGACATTCTGCACCATGATGACAGGAGGGGGGATTTTCCCACAGGGTGGGAAGTAGAAT